AAACCGACCTTTTAACATGAGTTACCTAACAGAGAATAACCTACTGTCTCAGTTAACATAGTTAAACCGACCTTTTACATGGGTATTCTAACATAAAATAACCTGTTGTCTCAGTTAACATGGTTAAACCAACCTTTTACATGAGTTATCTAACATAAAATAACCTACTGTCTCAGTTAACATAGTTAAACTGACCTTTTACATGGGTTATCTAAAATAGAATAACCTACTGTCTCAGTTAACATAGTTAAACTGACCTTTTACATGGTTATTCTAACATAAAATAACCTACTGTCTCAGTTAACATTGTTAAACCGACCTTTTACATGGGTTATCTAACATAAAATAACCTACTGTTTCAGTTAACATAGTTAAACCGACTTTTTACATTGGTTATATAACATAGAATAACCTACTGTTTCAGTTAACATAGTTAAAACGACCTTTTACATGGGTATTCTAACATAAAATAACCTACTGTCTCAGTTAACATAGTTAAACTGACCTTTCACATGGGTTATCTAACATAAAATAACCTACTGTCTCAGTTAACATAGTTAAACCAACCTTTTACATGGGTTATCTAACACAGAATAACCTACTGTCTCAGTTATCATGGATAAACCAACCTTTACATGGGTTATCTAACATAAAATAACCTACTGTCTCAGTTAACATAGTTGAACCAACCTTTTACATGGGTTATCTAACATAGAATAACCTACTGTCTCAGTTAACATGGTTAAACCAACCTTTTACATGGGTTATCTAACATAGAATAACCTACTGTCTCAGTTAACATGGTTAAACCAACCTTTTACATGGGTATTCTAACATAAAATAACCTGTTGTCTCAGTTAACATAGTTAAACCAACCTTTTACATGGGTTATGTAACATAGAATAACCTACTGTCTCAGTTAACATGGATAAACTGATCTTTTACATGGGTATTCTAACATAAAATAACCTATTGCCTCAGTTAACATAGTTAAACCAACCTTTTACATGGGTTATCTAACATAAAATAACCTATTGCCTCAGTTAACATACTTAGACCGACCATTTACATGAGTTAACTACCACAATTAGACTAATGTTTTACATGAGTTAACTACCACAATTAGACTAATGTTTTACATGAGTTAACTACCACATTTAGACCAATATTTTACATGGGTTACCTACCATAGTTAGACCAACCTTTTACATGAGTTAACAACCACAGTTACACTAATGTTTTACATGAGTTAACTACCATAATTAGACCAATGTTTAAATGAGTTAACTACCAT